ATTAAATTAAATTAAATTGCACGTAGATCCTAGATCACAGACAATCTGTATGTGCAAAAAAAAAATCTCACAGGTTAATTATTCTGAAATTTCATATACTTATACAAAATTTTATTATCCCTACAACCTGCAAGTTATAAGAAAAAACTGCAGATAAAAGAAGAAACTAAGAAAGGGATCTTAGACACACAATGCTGAGAATCACAACAGATCAAGATAAGTCCTATACTTAATTGGTGTATATAATTGGCTTACACTTTTTGGCAAATATATTGTACTTAGGTATATTTTTTATGCTTATAGGTAGGGAGTTGTATAGTCTTGGAGCTAGGCTCGTGGCAAATCTTTGGAAAGGAACTACTAAATTCTGGTTTGATATGTGTGCTCAAGTTTTGTTTGTAAATTTTTGTTTTTGTATAAAAGAAGGCAAATGTTATAGAAATACAGCATTCTTATACTTAGTACATTCTCATTATACAGCTGGTCAGTTGGAAAACGTTTTACTTTTTGAAATATAACCTTCAATATGTAATTTTGTACAACATTAAGAGGTTCAAGTGCACTAACATGTAAGATGGATTGAAGCAGTGCTTTATAGATTGTTACAAACAGTTTTTTCTTCACAAATTTACGGAGCTCATAAAATTTGTAGACTGGCTGATAACTTCACAATTTTGGCTGCCGGAGAAAGGCTGCTAACTTCACACCATCACCCCGGTTTGCACATAAGCAGTGGTTCAATAATTTTGTCCTGATATAACCTATAACTTCCTGTACCATTTGTGCCCGAAACTAAGGTAAAAATTCCATGTTAATTAAAATCTTCGATTGACTCCTGCCAAAAAGGTCTAAGATCACTTATACCATTTCGCCTCTAAACGTATTTCCAAATTTCATTAACATGCGATATAGCTAAGATCACTTTGTGTATTATTTTAAGCTCTTAAATTCGCAGATCTATATACAGGGTGTTTCAAAAGTAAGCGGCATCCTTTCGGGGGCTTATCCCTTGCATAAAAACAAGACAAAAAGTTCCTAGGAACTTGGGTCCGGAAATGCTGTCTGAGGGAGCTACGCTCCTTCGTATAGGACTATAGGACACCTGAAAGACGTGTTTTTCTGTATAACTTTGAAACCCTTCACAAATGGATTTTGAAAATTGGTGTATTTTATAAACATTTGATGGCAATTAAGATACTAAATTGAAAATTCAAAAATCTTAATCAGTGTCACACACGAAACATACGCAAATCAAAAAATTTTCAAAGTCAATTTTCTCGTAAATGGTATGCTGTATCGAATTGAACTAAGAGTACCTTTTCTGTGTAAAAAACTGTAAACTTCCTGAATTTTCAATTAGAATCGCAAAAACCTGACGCGTAAAAAAAATAGGGATGTTTTAACCCTCACCCTCTCCAGTATGTGACGCCACTGATTAAAATGTTTGAACTTTCAATTTAGTATCTCAATTGCCATCAAATGTTTATAAAATTCACCAATTTTCAAAAGACATTTGTGAAGGGTTTCAAAGTTATAGAGAAAAATACATCTTTCAGGTGTCCTATTCGAAGGGGCGTAGCTCCCTTAGGAAGCATTTCCGGACCCATGTTAATAGGAACTTTTTGTCTTATTTTTATGCAAGGAATACGCCCCCGAAAGGATGCCACTTACTTTTGAATCACCCTGTATGGTGGCGGGAAATTGCGTTTACTATGTGATTTTTATCTAGTGTGCATACAGTTTTTAATATAAATTGTGAGACTGACTCTGGTAATAGATTAAATCGAGGAAAATACTTCAGGGAAAGTTTAATACAGACATACAGATGAAGGGGCAATAACCAAAAGAGTCTAAGCCACAAATGATGTATTTTGAGATATTTGTAGTTAAAGTTAGTTGTTTTCTGTAAATTCTGTAGGTATTTTGTCATTATTATTTTTATGTTATTTGATGTATAATATGTTATTGTTTTTTGTAATAATTATGAAAATTTGCTAATGGTCTTGAATTTTTTTGTTAATGTCACTTAACCCTTCTGGTTCTATACATTGAAAGAAAAAAAAAATTGTTTGTAATATGTTTATAAGGAAAATGCAACTTATCAGTTATCAATACAAAACATGAGCATTTTATTATGCTTTGTAATCAAAAATAGTTCTGGTAGTCTTCATAGTAGTCAGAAAGTACTACATCATCTTCTTGATCAGTTTCCTCTTTGGTTTCTTTTTCTTTGGAACCACTTGGTTTATCTTTTGTTTCTTGTGGAGGACTTTCACTTCATGGGGCATTTTTTGATAAAAAATGGTATATCGAATATCGAAGGAATATAAGACAGGAGTTGAATTAAATTTTCCTATTTAACTTTTTTATTTTCAACCTAAGTAAAGGGTTTTATCGAATAATTTTTCCATGGATAAATTTGGCCTAAGGTACCCTAAATGATGTATATCGGTATTTGCAATTTGTGCCCGAGAATAGGGTTGAAATGTCCATTTTTCACAAAAACCCCTCTTTTCGATAAATCGCAATTATTAGTTTTACCCCCTATAATCACCCTCAAAGTTATTTGTAAGTCTTTTTAGGTACCCTAAACAGTGTATACTTGTACTGCCTATAACTTCTAGTACCATTTGCACTCGAGACTAAGGTGGAAATATCCATATTTTCAGAAAAACCCTGCGCAAGGGTTGTTTCCACTAATTTTGAGCCATTTTATCACTTGGTAAAGTCAAAATTAAGCAAAACTGAAATTTTTTTTTGTGAAGGGTACCCTCTTTGAATTCTGATTTCAAAATATTCAAACCTCAATTGCTCGGTAAACGTTGGGCAAATTGTATTGACATTTTTAGCATTTGCGGCTCTTATTAAGCTCTAAATAGTCTGTAATTCATAATATTCCCAGATTCATAGTCTTTGAGCAAATTGAGTTTGAAGTTTTTGACAAAATTTGAAATAAAAGGCAACTTTGAGGCTCAATTGCTCAAAAACTATTTGAGGTATCAAACTCAATTTTGCACAGATTTATAGAGAATTTACTTAATGCTCTTTCCAATGGTATATAATGTATTTCAATTTACTTGAAATTTAACAAAGATATGGGCAATTGCTTATGACCATGTCAAGATTTTAGAGGATTTTTTTTTTTTAAAATTTTTGTTTCCGCTTAATATGACCATATGGAATTAATGTGAGGGTTGTTTTCCACTAACTTTGATCCACTCTATTTATTGGTAAAGTCAAAATTGAGCAAAACTGAAAAATTAAAAAATCTAGTTTTTCACAAGAGTACCACCCCCTTTGAATTCTGATTTCAAAATAGTCAAACCTCAATTGCTCAGTAACAGTTGAGCAAGTTACATTGAAATTTTCAGCATTTGTAGCTCTTATTAGGCTCTAAATAGCCTGTAATTTACAATATTCCCAAATTTATAGTCTTTGAGCAAATTGATTTTGAAATTTTTGACAAAATTTGGACTGAAATTCCACTTTGAGGCTGAATTGCTCAAAAACTATTTGAGTTATTGAACTTAATTTTGCACAGATGTATAGAAAATTTAATGCTTTTTCCAATGGTATATAATTTATTTCAATTTGCTCGAGATTTAATAAGGATATGAGCAATTGTTCATGACCATGTCAAGATTTTGAAAATTTTCCAGAGCCAAATATAGGATTTTCTTTTTAATTTTGTTTCTGCTTCAAATGGCCATATGGAATTGATGTCAGGATCATTTTCCACTAGTTTTGATTCACTCTATCTATTGGTAAAATCAAAATTGAGCAAAACTGAAAATTAAAAACATCGAGTTTTTCTTAAGGGTACCCCCCTTTGAATTCTAATTTCAAAATATTCAAACTTCAAGTACTTGTTAACCATTGGGCAAATTGCGTTGAAATTTTCAGCATTTGTAACTCCTATTAGGCTCTAAATAACCTGTAATTTACAATATTCTTAGATTTATAGTTTTTGAGCAAATTGGGTTTGAAGTTTTTGACAAAATTTAGACTAAAAGTCAACTTTGAGGCTTAATTGCTCAAAAAATATTTGAGGTATCAAACTGAATTTTGCACAGAGAATTTAATGCTCTTTCCAATGGTATATGATTTATTTCAACTTGCTCCAAATTTAACAAAGATATGGGCAATTGCCTATGACCATGTCAAGGTTTTGAACATTTTTTAGAGTCAAAAATAGTTTGTTTTTTATTTCTACTCAAAATGACCATATGGCATTGATGTCCAGGTTGTTCTCCACTAACTTTGAGCCATTCTATCGATTGGGCAAAACTGAAAAATTAAAAAGTCGAGTTTTTCATAAGAGTACCACCCCTTTTTAATTCTGTTTTCAAAACATTCAAACCTCAATTGCTCAGTAACCGTTGAGCAAATTGCATTGAAATTGTCAGCATTTGTAGCTTTTATTAAGCTCTAAATGGCCTGTAATTTACAATAATCCCAGATTTATAGTTTTTGAGCAAATTAAATTTAAATAAAATATTTTAATGGAAAAAAACCAAATATAGAAAATGTTAATTCTTGAAACGCAAATTTTTTTATTCTATTTTCGGATATTTCCTCATAATTATATGACAAACTATACTTATCACAAGCCCAATTAAATTATATGCATCTTCCAAAATCGCCCCTGCTCGCTTCCACTCATATAATTTTTCCTTTTTTTTTAATAAATTTTCTCGAACTACTTGGTACCTACTTATGAATAATGTCGCAGTTATTTTAATTACCTATTGAATTCACCCGGACTGCAGCATCGATTTTTGTTTTTTAAAAGATAAGACATTAACCACTGAACTACTAAATAAATCTAGCATTTCAGTTGTTAGTATGATTTAGTTCGAGTCGCATACAAATCTCAAAATGTAATTTTTAGTTTAATTTATTGCATAATAATTTAAGTTTTTTTTTTTTTAAATAGGGGTAATATTCTAAGTCCTTGGAGTTCACCTAGTTCCAGTCCAGTGGGTCGTCCTCCCTCGCTCATGGATCACCAGCAAAGTCTTCCTAATGTAGTTAGAGTGGTAGTGACTAGAGACAATGGCGGATATGGCATGAAAGTTTCTGGAGATAATCCTGTTTATGTCCAAAGTGTCAAGGATGGTAAGTAATAATCAATATAATCATAAATAAATATATTTAATTTGTAAATTATAGGGGGCCCTGCTGAAAAGGCAGGCTTACACGCTGGAGATAAGATAATTCAAGTCAATGGCAATAATGTGATGCATTCTACTCACACTGATGTTGTGGCTTTAATCAAAGGTAAGTTGATTAAGTTTTTTTTTTTAAATTAATGTTTGTTTTGTTTTAAGCTCACGCCCAAGTTGTATTGACAGTACAGCAAAGAACCTCCCCTTTACGTTCACCTAGTTCAAGACCGTCTAGTTTACCTTCGAGCACAAAAATTACTGCTCCTCAGCCTGTTGATGTAAGTCTATAGATGTTAAATACCATTATTAAAAATCACTAAAGATAATGTTTTTATTTTAGAATGAAAAACAGTATCAGTTGCAGCAGGAGAAAGAACAATATTACCGTTTGATGATTGAAAAAGAACAGCATCACTTGGATAAGTTGCGAAGTGAAGTTGCTACTTCGCCTAATGAAAAGAAGAATTTGGAATTAGCCAAAGCAGAGAGGAATTTGAAGACTTTGCAGGATAATCTAATACTTTTGTCAGAGGTAAGTAACTATTAATAATAGTTGGTGTATAAGTTGCAGTAACTTTTGTTGAACTTTTAGTATGTTCTGTTTGAATACTTTAAAAACATTACCACAAAGTTTCATATTATCAAAACGGTAAAATAATGCTTTTGAAGATTTATAACACATTTTGGCTACCTATAGTTAATTCTTTTTTTATTTCTGTTGTTATATCCAGTCAATGCCAACCTCTAACCATGTCTTTGAAAAATGTCTGTTGAGTGGTCAGCTGACTGTATGAGAACGATCTTATTGGTGTTGACTAATCTGAGGTGTTGACTGATTTGTGATGTAATGTAAAAACAAGTAGTGCAACTTAAAATCCTGTTAGGTATCTAATTATTTATTCAGAGCTTATATTTTTTTCATAGGTTCTTTCAAACCTTTATACAGTTCTCAACTTGTCTGAACCTGGAAAGGGTCATTTCCCTTTTCCGAGGCATTGTAAACTTTGCTAGGAATATTTTGGGAATAGCTAGGAATACTTGGTAATACCCTGGAATAGAGATTGAAGTTTACCGGTAATTTTCATTTGTTCTTTCTCAGCGGTAATTTACCGGTAATTTTTCGGTTATTTTGGAAATATTTCATGAAACAAACAATTATGACTGGGTATATACTATATACGTTCAAAGGAAGGATTATAATATATTTTCAGGATTTTTTACCTTCACAATCATTTATTATAATATTGTTTGTTGTAAACTAATCTCATAGAAATATTACAATATTTAAACGAATAATAATACCTAAATCCTAGAACAAAAAACGAGCAAAGAAAATCAAACAAAAATAAAACAGAAATAAATTCTCCTAATCTGGTGCTAAAATAAATACCTAGTGAAGTAAATACATACTTTGAAAGGGCAAAAAGAAAACAAATAAATAAAATGAGCTGAATAAGTATAGCATAAGAGATAACTCTGTCAAGAAAATTAATTACTTTAAGCGCATAGGGTTGGTAAAAGCCCGAGTTTTTCAAAATTTCCATTGGTTGTGCTTTTGTAGGGATTTTGTGTTTTAAGATCTTTGACTCTTTGACATTCCAAATAATCTCAAACTATGAACTCAACAAAAACCCACCGGGTTTTTGAAATAGGTTTTTCCTATGAGCACAATGTTTTAATTCAAAATATAGGTACTACATATTTTTTACTTCAAATCAAATTAATATCTATAGGTTCTATTTTCCATTGAGAAAACCTAGATCTTACACAGATTTTTTGATCAATTTTAGATAAATGAGTTGGACAAAAATACTTGTGGAAAAACATTACACTTAACTTCTGCAGAAAATGTCTTTTCCACCCTTGACAGCTTGCAAGCAACCGTTGCGTGCGGAAAAGCACCACTTTCCGCACTTGTTAGGTAAATTACTATTTGTTTATGTTAACCCTGAAAGCGCGTTACAGATTCACAACAAGATGGTGAATAACGCATGAAAAGGATTGTCGCCTGAATGATGTGATTTCATTCAGGAAACATTTCTGAAAATTACCGGTAAAGAAATTTGTCGGGTTAAATTACCAAAATTACCTTACCAAAGTTACCGTTACCGCGGTAACGTTACCACACTTTAATCTCTACTCTGGAAATACTTGGAAATCCTTGGAAATACTATGGAAGTATATGGGAATACTCTGGAAGTACCTACATGAGAATAATTTGGAAATACATGGAAGTATACTTGTAAATTTTTATAACTTCCAACCCCAATTTTAACGTATTTTCATTATAATCTCAAAAATTGCATGCATGTTCGTTCTGGTTCAGTGATTCACTTTGTTCTGGTTAAGGGGTTCCAATTTTATATTATATAATCTATTCATAGATGATCTGGCGTATCTGACTCATGAACTGACTGAAACACTTTCCAATCTGCTTTTTGAAAATGTCCATTTTTCCAGTTAAAAGGCTGTCATATTTGATCAAGTTATTTATAATTCCCTCGAGCATGTATGGAGCATCTTCCAGTGACACGATTTCTAGGTTGTTTATCTCCAACAAAATCAAAATTTCTGTTTCTGTGTTGTTTTTGATGTAGATTTCCCTGGTCTGTGGCTGCAATTCGCTTTTGGCCGATTCATTTTTTGCCGCCTGGTCACACACTGTGGCAACAACTCTTGAACCGGCTGCTTATGATGATACACTTATCACTTCTTTCACAGTCTTGGAATTCAAAACAATCAACGACGATGCACTCAACAAATTAATTCAGATGACAAGATGACATTTGCATTATGATGTTAAATGGACACCTGCATTTTTATGACTGGTTTTTATATACACGATTCTATGTGGGTCATTGTCATTTTCTATTCACTAAACAAAGACAGCTAACTCATCGGTGATGTTACCGATTAGAATAAAAACGAGGGGGACGTTGAGAAACGGCAAGATAAAAGTCAAAATGACATTATGTTGGCAATACAATGTAAAATTGTCAATGCTTTCAAATTTTTTATGTAAAAAAGGCTTGTGTTGCCAACATAGTTACTAAATTTTTGACTTGGGGAATTATCTTTAAATAAAAAACAAACTTTATGACCATTTCACCAAACGTTTGTGACATCTGGTTAAGTTCACCGGAGGTTAATTTTTTTTTCTAGGGTTGGTAAGGCGAATGATGCGTTCAGGGTCCGTTTGCGACAGGGGCCAGTGACATTCAAAAAAAAGAATTACATAATATGCCAACTTCCAACTTGTCATTATCATAGAATGTCATTATCTGTGTGTCATAATTTATTCCTTTTGATTTGAAAAAAAGATCTTCAAGCCAAGAACCTCTATACTTTGATATTCCAAATGTTAACAAGCAAGGAAATTTGAAGCTATTCAGATTGTTATTCAGTAATTTTTTGGAATAAGGCCAGCAGGTTTTTTTGTGTTGAAATAATGTTCTTTCAAACAACGTGTAGTACCCTAGTACCTACCTATTTTATTACCATAATTGCTGCTGACCCAAGCGCAGTAGTATTAGTGGTAATATAGGTACAATTCCTGTTTTTTTTTTCAGCACCAAGAACAAGCAATACTATTGACTTTTTACTACTGCCGTTGTTCTAGATAAATCTAGTTTCTCCAGCGTAGGTTTTTTGTAAAATAAAATTACTCATATTTATGTTTACCTACCGCGTTTTATTGATAAATTCAAAAATGTGGATCCTGATTCTAAGTACATTTTGATACTACAAAATTTGATACTACTGTATTTGATTGGAGTCTAAAAGCTAGGAAAAAACTCTCGCCCATCATGTGTTTCAAAATAATTAGACCTCTCTCAAAAAACTCTTGTTTTGGGAGCCCTATCTCCAACTTCAAATACCCCATCATCACTGTAGCCACTCCATATGCGTTTATATTATCATAAGTATTCTTGTTTTGAAATATACGAATTTTTCATTGAAAAACATACAGTAGTTGTAGGTTATTTTTTGAGAAAACCTAAGGTAAACCCAAACATGAAGCGCTGATAAAGTATACTGGTGGTTAACCAAAAGATTTTCGTATACCTGAGATTGTGGAACAGAATTTCACTAGTTAACCCTAATCCGTCAGACATCTTCTGGTCACCATCAATTGTGATAATGGGCCTAAGTGTTGTTTCCTGGTTTGTTATGCTTCTTTCTTGTTCATTGTGCTGTATTCTGTCTTTCAAGTGGATTGGTTCTGGCTCCACCTACTTCCTGGTGATTTGGTCATCTGGGTCCCACGGCCCAAGTAATCCTTGATCATCTCTTTTGTGAGTGTGGTGGAAATAGTACTGTGGTCTGTCTACTTTTGGTCCATACCCATTTGTTTCTTCTGGTTTGAAGTTCCTAGCCTCTGCTCAGTCCAGAGCTAGGTCCTTCTATTACAATGCCTTCCCTCGAATTTGTTTTGTAGTCCGTCCCTGGTTGGTGGTTTTGTATATACATGCAAAAAATAAAATAATATTTATTTATCTTCGAGACTGTTTGCCTGGTTCACAAGAGGTATCAGGGTACTACACAAGTGCACTCCTATCCAACGAGGAACTATAACCTGATATCTTTGCCCATACCAAGATTCTCAATTACACAAAATTCTCTCATTGACAGAACCATAAAAATTTACAATAAGCTACCATTAAATTTAAGAACAAAGCAAAGTTATAAATCTTTTAAAAATAAAGTCAAATGCTTATTGGCCGATAGAGCATATTATTCTTTTGACGAATATTTTAATGACAACCTTAAACAGGTTCTTATAACTGGATATATCTACTTGTATTGTTATTGGTGTCTGTGTCGTGATTTTAGTGTCTAAAAGTTCAACAAAACCCTCGGCCACACCTTAGGATCTTGCATAGGTTGTGTCATCAAGGACCATTTCCTCTAAGACATCAGGAGAATCTTTTAGAGTTTTGAGAAAGGACTAGAAAATTTTAGGGTTTGATTTAAAGCTTGCCTCTATATTGCGGAGGTATTTGGAATGAGCAAGTTTAACCTTAAATTTACGATGCTCCTAAGAGTAACATACTTATGTCTCAAAAGTGAGATTTGTATTTTTTTTTGATTTTATGAAGAGTCTATACAATTTTTGTTTGAGAAGCTTGATAATTTCTTTGCTAAACCATACAGGATTATTTTTTAACGACCTGAGATGCCTTAGGGACGGATTTCTCGAAAATATTATTTAGTAGGAAATAAAAAGATTCCAGTGTCAAATTGACGTCGGACTTGGCCTCCAAGTCATTCCAATCCCGCTCACTAAAAAGTCTGTACATTAACAAGAAGTTTGCCTTTTTGAAGTTGAATTGGTTGTCGAGTTAACTCTACAATATTCAATATCATTCTTAGTGTTCAGGCACAAACCAAGGCAACATCCGTTGTTAACCAGGAGTAGGCTATCATTGGTCACCTTCAAAAGAGGAGGTGACAAGATCGAGAATCGAGAAGACATTATTGTTATTCCCTTATTAGTCCAAATTTTATCAAAAACTTCAAACTTAATTTGCTGAAGAATTGTAAATTATAGGCCAATAATTCTATTTTAAAAAATCTTGAAAATTCTTTCCAGCAACAAAGTCCAGATTCCTTCTCGAGTCGTTCCCCAACAAAAACCAGTGCAACAACCCAAAGGGCCATTTCCGACGAGCCTCCGCCATTGCCCAAACGAAACAAGACCACCGATATCAGTTCCATATTTGCGTCAAATGAAATCAACGACAATTTGAACAAAGCCCAGGTGAGTAACTTATTATTATTAAAAATCGATTTTATATGCACACCCCTGATCATTTGTACTACTAAAAAAATCACTTCACTTTTCATTTGGTGCTTTAATCTGGGGTGTAGTAAAAGGGCCTCACCCACTACGTTCTTGACACAATGGTTAAACATTTCATGTCAAAACTGTTGTATGTGGGTCCAACTGTCGTCAAAAAATCACGTAGTGTGTGTGAAAACTTGAAAACAGGCTAACAATGAAATACGACATTGTTAATCGCGACGAACGTAGTGTGTAAGGGCCCTTAACACTCGTTTAGCAGATCAATCTGTTATCATCGGTCCTGTCTTCTCTCTTCTAGAACGACGTCCCTCCTCCATTACCACCCCGTACTTACCAACCACTTAACACGTACACAAACGACGCCTCGAATTCCATCGATAAACAAATGTCATATCCGCTAGTGTCTATATCGACCCCCTTACATGATGGTGTAAGTATAATGCACACACTGGTTTTTAGTTCAATCAACTTTTCATCTTCACCTGTTTTCGAATTTCAGCAAATCAGCAAGCATCATCGCACCAAATCCAGTCCCGATTACCTTACTTCTTGTACAGATGGTAGTCCGAGACACCCTGCAACCCCACCTGGTACTCCGCCACCACCGTATCCTAGTCCGGAACCAGGAAGAAGGTTCCAAATGGGAGTGTCTTACGATGGGTCTTTTGATTTTATGCCAGTAAGTAATAATCATAATAAGCTTTATTTAGCATATTGCTGTTATAAGTACATTATTTCTGTCTCTTGAAGAACCGCGAATAGACAAAAATTTGAGAATTGAAAGGCAAACATTAAGGGAAAATGGAGTAGATAAGTAAACTTAAGTACCTATATGTTGTCTCTATTCCAGGCTCTTGATTTTTTTTTCATATAGAGATATTTAGGTGAATGAGGAAAAGCCTAGAAAGGCTGTAATAACATAATGAGTATGCTATTATTTCCTATTTCAGGCTTTTAAATGTTCTCTGTTTAAAGATATTCCGAAGAAAACAATTCAAGAGTCGGGAATAGATAAACATTTAGACAGAAAAATTTTAGAATTAGAGAACAGAAATTTAGGGAAAATTGAGTAGATAAGTAGACTTAGGTATCTTTTGAATTTTCACTGTTTGGAAGCACTAGTTTTCTAGGAAAAATTTTAAATGTGTGAGACTGTGTTTTCAATTAATTCAGTTTTTGTAGGTCGATTTCCAAGATTCTTTATGCTGTTATTTTCCACTTGAAAAATTTGAAATTTTAGGAAAATGAGCTTCCAACCTTCCTCTTTATATGCCAAAAGTTTCAAAATTTTCCCTTTACTAGTTTTCCAGGAAAACTTTGAAACGTGTGAGACTGTATTTTGAATCAATTCAGTTTTTGTAGGTTTATTTCAAAGGTTTTTCATGTTGTTATTTTCTACTGGAAAAATTTGAAATTTTGAGAAAATGAGCTTCTAACCTTCCTCTTTACATGCAAAAAGATAAGTTTCAAAATTTTCCCTTAACTAGTTTTCCAGAAAAACTTTAAAATGTGTGAGACTGTATTTTCAATTAATTCAGTTTTTATAGGTTTATTTCAAATATTTTTCATGTTGTTATTTTCCATTGGAAAAATTTGAAATTTTGGGAAAATGAGCTTCTAACCTTCCTCTTCACATGCAAAAAGTTTCAAAAATTTCCCTTTTGTAGTTTTCCAGAAAAACTTTGATATGTATAAGACTGTATTTTCAATTAATCCAATTTTTGTAGGCTGATTCCCAAGATTTTTCATATTGTTATTTTCCATTGGAAAAATTTGAAATTTTGGAAAAATGAACTTCTAATTTTCCTTTTTGAGTATCATTAGAAATATCCTTAAAAAATCCTATACCAAGTTGCATGTCCTTGTGCCCCGTCTAAGATGGAGAAAATGGACCCTAATGGAAAGGGGTACTTATAATTTAAAAAAAAAAATCTATTTTCCACTTTTTTTAAAATTTCAGAGGTCAAAATGAGTCTAGAACAGGTCTCACATTTTCTCAAAAAACAGTTTTAAAAAATTTCAAGAATCAGTCCTAGAAAATTCTTGATGTCCTGACATAGTCTCAAAATTTTGCTCACAGTTTAGGTAATTTTCAACGAATCAACTTGTATTATAGGTTTTCTGAAAGAGAATTAAATTCTCTATAAATCCTTCAAATATGAATTCAGTTGCATTTATAGGTTTTGAGAAATCAAGCCTCAAATTTGGAATTTTATCAAAATTTCATCCAAAAATTCAATTTCAATTTATCCAAAAACCACTGGTAGTATAAAGATTTTTCAAATACCACATTGAAGCATTCAATGAGAGCTACAAATTCAGAAAAATTTACGGATATTGAGATATCACATATTAAAAATTTGAATAAAAATATCAAATGGATAAGTATTATGTAGGTATTTAAAAAAACGAAATTTTCTATTATGGATTTTTCTAAATTTTGACTTGAGATACATGAGCGAATATGATCTAAAAAAACCGATATTCTCAGTTTTAGCCTCCTCCAACTTATTAGGGGGAATTAACTCGTGTCCCCCCAATTTGGAAAATGACTTTTTTCCGAATTTCGAAAAATAAAAAATACCATCGTTTAGAGGAACAAAGAATACGTCAAAAAGCTCACTATAATTTTTTCAACTATAATTTTAGCAGGAAGAAAATTTTGAGGACCCGACACTGTGTCACATTTTCATTTATAGCTTCGGTATTTCTGAACCGATTGTCTCGAATCAATTCGAAAGAGGATTAAATTACCTAACAAACTGTTTTTTATTGATATTCCAGGTTGTTTTCGTCTCTGAAATATAAGCTGTCAAAGTTGAAATTTCTTTGAAAATGTATTGAAAGCTTCGAGGTCGATTTTTTCAAAAACGGTGCCCCGTGGAAGGGTAACTCTTATAAGCTTTTTTGTACTTCTCAATGAGATCTACAAATCTTGCTTAAGAAGTTTTTCTCTCAGACTTATCGTTTGCCAGTTACGACGCTTTGAAAATTCGAAAATTAAATTTTCCCTTTGGATATTTTTTGAAAAAAAATCAAAGTTGAAAATTCAGGTTTTTTTTTGCAACGACGGTTTTCAGGGGATTCCAAATATCCCCCAAACGGAAAAATTTTCTCAAATACATATACATATTTCACGCTTTTGCATTTTGTAAAATAGATAGAAATCACATGTAAAACTTGGTACATAGGCGAATAGGATTTAAAAAACCGATATTCTCTAGACTAATTTTGAATTTCTCTTTCCATTGAAAAAGTCAAAATTTTGAAAAAAGTGGAAAATGGAAAATTTCGTTTTTTTAAATACATAGGTACTTAACTTACCCCTTTGATATTTTTATTCAATTTTTTTAATGTTCGATATCTCAATATCCATAGGAGGTATCGTGCCAAATTTTTCTGAGTTTGTAGCTCTCATTGAATGCTTCAATATGGTATTTGAAAAATCTTTGTACTACCAGTGGTTTTTGAGCAAATTGAAATTGAATTTTTGGATGAAATTTTGGTAAAATTCTAAGTTTGAGGCCTTATTTCTCAAAGCCTATAAATGCAACTGACTTCATGTTTGGAGGATTTATAGAGAATTTAAACGTCTTTCAGACAACCTGTAATACAAGTTGATTCGTTAAAAATTACGGAAATTTTGAGCAAAATTTTGAGACCATGTCAGGACATTAAGAATTTTCTAGGCCTAAAATGGATGATTTTTGGAATTTTTCAAATCTGCTTTTTGAGAAAAAGTAAAACTTGTTTCAGATTAATTTTGAGCTCCTCTTTCTATTGAGAAAGTCAAAATTTTGAAAAAAATGGAAAATGGATTAAGGTACTGTTGAGTGATAAAGCCAGGCAGGTTATAAGGCTATCCTGTTCAAAATGGCATAAGAATGAATATTTCATAAATAATGTTATCCTGGCCTTACTATCCAATACTACCTTATTTTTTTTCAATACATAAGTACCTACCCCTTTCCATTAGAGTCCATTTTTCCATCTTAGACGGGGCACAAGGACATGCAACTTGATATAAGATTTTTTAAGAATACTTCTAATGATACTCAAAGAGGAAAGTTAGAAGCTCATTTTCCTAAAATTTTAAATTTTTCCAGTGAAAAATAACAACATGAAGAATCTTGGAAATCAACCTACAAAAACTCAATTATTGAAAAATACAGTCTCACACATTTTGAAGTGTTTCTGGAAAACTAGCGAAGGGAAAATTTTGTAATTTCTTGTATGTAGAGAGGAAGGTCAGAAGCTTATTTTCCCAAAATTTTGAATTTTTCCAGTGAGAAATAACAACATGAAGAATCTTGGAAATCAACGTACAAAAACTGAATTAATGGAAAATACAGGCTCACACATTTCAAAGTTTTCCTGGAAAACTAGTGAAGGGAAAATTTTGAAATTTTTCACATGTAAAGAGGAAGGTTAGAAGCTCATTTTCCCAAAATTTCAAATTTTTCCAGTGGAAAATAACAACATGAAAAATCTACGAAAAATGAATTAATTGAAAATATACTCTCACACATTTCAAAGTTTTTATGGAAAACTAGCAAAGACAAAATTTTGAAACTTTTTGCATGTAAAGAGGAAGGTTAGAAGCTCATTTTCCCAAAATTTCAAATTTTTTCAGTGGAAAATAACAAAATGAAGAATCTTGGAAATCAACCTACAAAAACTGAATTAATGGAAAATACAGTCTCACACATTTTGAAGTGTTTCTAGAAAACTAGTGGAGGGAAAATTTTGAAACTTTTTGCGTGTAAAGAGGAAGGTTAGAAGCTCATTTTCCCAAAATTTCAAAATTTTCCAGTGAAAAATAACAACATGAAAAATCTTCGAAAAATGAATTAATTGAAAATATACTCTCACACATTTCAAAGTTTTTATGGAAAACTAGTAGAGGCAAAATTTTGAAATTTTTTGCATGTAAAGAGGAAGGTTAGAAGCTCATTTTTCCAAAATTTCTAATTTTTCCAATGGAAAATAGCACTATGAAAAATCTTGGAAATCAACCTACAAAAACTGAATTGATTGAAAATACAGTCTCACACATTTCAAATTTTTTCTGGAAAATTAGTAAAGGTAAAAATTGGAAACTTTTTGCATTTAAAGCGGAAGGTGAGAAGCTCATTTTCCCAAAATTTCAAATTTTTCCAGTGGAAAATAACAAAATGAAGAATCTTGGAAATCAACCTACAAAAACTCAATTATTGAAAAATACAGTCTCACACATTTTGAAGTGTTTCTGGAAAACTAGTGGAGGGAAAATTTTGAAACTTTTTGCGTGTAAAGAGGAAGGTTAGAAGCTCATTTTTCCAAAATTTCTAATTTTTCCAATGGAAAATAGCACTATGAAAAATCTTGGAAATCAACCTACAAAAACTGAATTGATTGAAAATACAGTCTCACACATTTCAATTTTTTTCTGGAAAATTAGTAAAGGTAAAAATTGGAAACTTTTTGCATTTAAAGCGGAAGGTGAGAAGCTCATTTTCCCAAAATTTCAAATTTTTTCAGTGGAAAATAACAAAATGAAGAATCTTGGAAATCAACCTACAAAAACTCAATTATTGAAAAATACAGTCTCACACATTTTGAAGTGTTTCTGGAAAACTAGTGGAGGGAAAATTTTGAAACTTTTTGCGTGTAAAGAGGAAGGTTAGAAGCTCATTTTCCCAAAATTTCAAAATTTTCCAGTGAAAAATAAGAACATGAAAAATCTTCGAAAAATGAATTAATTGAAAATATACTCTCACACATTTCAAAGTTTTTATGGAAAACTAGTAGAGGCAAAATTTTGAAATTTTTCACATGTAAAGAGGAAGGTTAGAAGCTCATTTTTCCAAAATTTCATGAAAACATGAAAAATCTTGAAAATCAAATTTCAACTGTAAATAAGCAATAATTATTTCTTATAGAATTCTCCAAACGAATCGTTCATCGAAACCGATCCGTCCTCACCAAACAACTCCCACATAAAAGCAGCCAATTCCCGCATAGCCCAACAACCAATCATCAGCATGGAGGACGACGACATCTCAGATTTAGAAACCGTAAGCCAAAACCCTTTAATCCAAAAACCAAAACCTAATTTATAAATAATTTTAGGATCAAGAAGAAGATCATGGGTATTTCAAATCGCTGGCCCGTTTATGGGAACATCTACCCCACCTGGCTGTGTTCATGAATTACGTTTTATCAAATTCCGATCCCAATAGTTTGCTATTCTACTTGTTGACTGATCTTTACAAGGAAGGCAACGCCAAAGAAATGAGAAAATGGGCTTTTGAAATTCATTCATGTTTCCTTGTGCCTGGAGCGGTAAATTTCAATTATTCATGTATATCAACAATTATTAATATATAATTATTATTAATTATTTTTAGCCTTTAAGATTAAATAATGTGGATGAAAATGTTGCAAGAGAAATCGATGATGATTTAACTAAAGAGTATGATAAAGAGGAGATAATGAGGAAGATTTTTTGGAAAGCACGTCAAAGGGCTAAAGAAGAACTTACAAGACAATTAGCAGATTTTCAACAGAAAAGAACAGCTGGCTTAGGGACGATTTATGGTCCAACTGATCAAGAACTGATGGTAAGTTAACTGTAAACTTTTCATTTTATAATATAACTATAAATTCCTGTATTGGAATTTAGGAGGATGCTAGGAACACTTGGTAGTTTGTTGTTTGTAGGTCAGTGGCGGATCTATAGCTATAGATAATCGAAATTTTCTTAGGCCCCATGCATCCGCCACTAGGAAAAAACGTAGTGTAGTTTACAATAATAAAAATGTCGTACAATTACGTCATAAATACCTCAGGCATGTCATATTTGAAATATGGTACAATTGACGTCCTCATAAATATGTCAGTTTGATCATGACATGACGTTTATGCATGTGACAGTAAGGTCATAAATCACGACATTTCAATTCTCATAAATTTTCTCGCTTAATTATTCCTTTTCAATTTTTGTCTGTTCCCGGCTCTTAAATGTCTTCAATTTTTTTTAAATTAAGAGAATTCAAGAGCCTGAAATAGACAAAGATCGATTTCATCTCTCTCACTCTGTATATTTTTTTGCCTGGTAATGGTTCTATCTTTTTCACACTTGACACTAATTTCTCTTTAACAGGAGTTGACAGATAAACATTGAATTGGACTTCGTTTGTCAATCAATTTGTTTATGATTAAGTTGAATTCAAGAGCCGGGAATAGACAAAAATCGATTTCATCTCTCTTCCTCTGTATAGTTTTTTTACCTAGTAATGGTTCTATCTCTCTCACACTTGACACTAATTTCTCTGTAACAGAAGTTGACAGATAAACATTGAATTGAATGTCGTTTGTCAATCAATTTGTTTATGATGTGAGTTGAATTCAAGAGTCGACAAAAATCGATTCCATCTCTCTCACTTTGTATAGTTTTTTACCTATCTCTCTCACATTTCTGTGTAATTTTTTGTATTTTTTTTGTGATTATTGTATATTTTGTCATTTTCGTAAATTATTCCATTTTTCGTGTTTTTTTCGATTTTTTGTATTTTTCTTGTCATTATCGTATTTTTTGTAATTTCCGTCCGTCCGTATTTTTTATTTTTTTCTACAATTTCTTGTATTTCTCGTGTTTTTTTCGCTTTTTTGTAATTTTTTGTATAATTATCGTATCGTATTTCGTATTTTCTTCAATTTTAGTAAACTTTTGTATTTTTTGTTTTTTTTTCGATTTTTTGTATTTTTGTTGTGATGTATCATGTTTTTTGTAATTTTCATAAATTTTTGTATTTTCTCCTGTTTTTACAATTTTTTTGTATTTTTCGTGTTTTTTTTTTTTCAATAATCATATTTTTTGTAACTTTCGTAAATTTTTGTATCTTTCATATTTTTGTAGTTTCGCGATTTTTTGTATTTTTATATATTTTTTCATTTTTTGTAAGTATCGTATATGTACTTATTTTGTAATTTTTGTTAATTTTTGTTTTTTTTACAATTTTTTGTTTTGTTTTTGTTATCGTATTTTTTTTTCAATTTTCGTATACATATTTTGTTTTCTTCTACGATTTTTTTATAATATTTCTGTGTTTTTTTCGATTTTTTTATAATTATCGTGTTTTTTTGCAATTTTCGTAAACTTTTGTAATTTTCATGTTTTTTTCGATTTTTTGTATTTTTTTTGTGATTATCGTATATTTTGTAATTTTCATAAATTTTTGTATTTTTCGTGTTTTTACAATTTTTTTTGTAATTCTCTTAAATTTTTGTATTTTTTATGATTTTTTTTTTTTTTTATTGCCATCGTATTTTTTGTAATTTTCGTAAATGTTCGTATTTTTGTTTTTTTCTACGATTTTTCGTATTTCTCGTTTGTTTTTCGATTTTTTGTAATATTTTGTGTAATTATCGTATTTCGTATTTTTTGCAATTTTAGTAAAGTTTTATATTTTTCCTGATTTTTTTCGATATTTTGTATTTTTGTTGTGATTATCGTATTTTTTGTAATTTCCATAAATTTTTTTTTCCCGTGTTTTTTTCTCGTGTTTATACAACTTTTTTGTATTTTTCGTTTTTTTTTTTTTTTTTTTTTAATATTCGTATTTTTTGTTTTATTCTACGATTTTTTTATATGTATTTCTCGTGTATCGTATACTTATTTTGTAATTTTCGTCAATTTTTGTTGTTTTCACAATTTTCTGTATTTTTTTTGTTATTATCGTGATTTTTTTTTTAATTTTCGTATTTTTTGTTTTATTCTACGATTTTTTTTTATGTATTTCTCGTGTTTTTTTCGATTTTTTGTATTTTTTTTTGTAATTATCGTGTTTTTTGCAATTTTCGTAAACTTTTGTATTTTTCGTGTTTTTTTCGATTTTTTGTATTTTTTTTGTGATTATCGTATTTTTTGTAATTTTCGTAAATTTTCGTATTTCTCGAATTTTTTATGAATTTTTTTTATTTTCCGAGTATTTTACGATTTTTTTGTAATTTTCGTATTTTTGTTTGTAATTATCATGAATTTTTGTATTTCTCGTATTTTTTGTATTTTTCGTGTATTTTTTCATTTTTTTTAACTATCGTATACATATTTTGTAATTTTCGTCAATTTTTATTTTTTTTTACGAGTTTTTGTATTTTTTTTGTATTCATCGTATTTTTTGTAATTTTTGTAAATGTTCAAATTTTTTGCGTTTTTTTTACGATTTTTCGTATCTCCCGTGTTTTTCACGATTTTTTGTATTTTTTTTTGTATCATCGTATTTCTCAAGTTTTTTACGATTTTTTTGTATTTTTCGAGTATTTTACGATTTTTTTGTAATTATCGAATTTTTGTTTGTAATTATTGTGAATATTTGTGTGTTTTGTATATTTGGTAGTTTTCGTAATTTTTTGTAATTTTCGTTAATTTTTGTTTTTTTTATGATTTTTTGTATTTTCTTTATATTCATTGTATTTTTGTAATTTTCGTAAATTATTATAATATCTTTCATGTTTTCAGATCGTGAAAAAAACGAAAAATACAAAAATTATGAAAAATACAAAAATATAAAAAAAACATACAATGACAAAAAAATAACGATGATTACAAAAAAATCGTAAAAACACGAAAAATACAAAAAATTACGATAATTACAAAAAAATTGTTAAAAAACACGAAAAATCAAAAAATCGTAAAAGACACGAAGAAAACAAAAAAATCGTAAAAAAAACCCGGAAAATATAAAAACTTACGATAATTATTATAAAAAAAATACGATATTCAAAAAATTCAAAAGAACATAAAAAACACGAAAAATACAAAAATTATAAAGAATAAAATGATAACAAAAAATATAAAAAAAAAACATACAATGATTACAAAAAATTACGATTATTACAAGAAAATCGTAAAAACACGAGAAATACAAAAAAATCGTAGAAAAAACGAAAAATACAAAAAATCGTGTGAAAATCCGAAAAATACAAAAACTCACGATATGTAATTACAAAAAAATACAATATTGAAAAAATACAAAAGAACATAAAAAACACGACAAACACAAAAAAAAAAATACGATAATTACAAAAAAATCGTAAAAAACTCGAAAAGTACAAAAAAGACTTAAAAAACAGGAATAATTAGAAAAATCGTAAAAAACACGAAAAAATTACGATAATAACAAAAAAATACAGAAAATCGTAAAAACACGAAAAATATAAAAAATACAATGATAACAAAAAATATAAATAAAACATACAATGATTACAAAAAATTACGATGATTATAAGAAAATCGTAAAAACACGAGAAATACAAAAAAATCGTAGAAGAAACGAAAAATACGAAAAATCGTAAAAAAACCCGAAAAATACAAAAAATTACGATGATTACAGAAAACTCGTAAAAAATACCTACGAAAAAATTACGATAATAACAAAAAAATACATAAAATCCTAAAAACATGAAAAATACAAAAAAAAAAGAAAAATAGAAGAATTTATGAAAATTATAAAAAATAAGATAATTACAAAAAAAATACAATAAATCATAAAAACACAAACAATATAAAAATTTACGTTAATTACAAAAAAAAAAATACAATAATATACAAATAATACAAAAGAATGTAGAAAACACGAAAAATACAAAAAGTCGTAAAAACACGAAAAATATAAAAATTTACGAAAATTACATAAAATACGAAAATCATAAAAAAAATACGATAATAACAAAAAAATAAAAAAAATTGTCAAAAACACGGAAAATACAAAAAATCGTGAAAAAATCTGAAAAAAAATATACGATAAATACAGAAAAAATACAAAAAATGATGAAAAATTCAAAAATTTAAAAAAATATAAAATTTTATGAACATTACAAAAAATACGATAATTACATCACATTAATATCCAAATATGTGATACATACAAAAGAATGTAGAAAACATGAAAAATACAAAAAATTACAATAACAGAAAAATCGTGAAAAATACGAAAAATACAAAAAATCGTAAAAAACACAGAAAATACCTAAAATTGTAAAAAAACCGAAAAAATAAAAAAATTTACGCTAATTACAGAAAAAATAAAATAATACATAAAAATAAAAAATACAAAAAAAATCGTAAAAAACACGAACAATATAAAAATTTACGATAATAACAAAAAAAATATACAATAAGATGCAAATAATACAAAAGAGTGTAGAAAACACGAAAAATACAAAAAAATTACGATAATTACCAAAAAAATCGTAAAAAAACATGAAAAATACAAAAAAACGTAAAAACATGAATAATTACAAAAATGATAAAAAATACAAAAAAATTACGAAAATATCAAAAAAATACAGAAAATCGTAAAAACACGAAAAATATAAAAAATTACGAAAATTATAAAAAATACGATATGTTATTACATTACAGAAAAATACAAAAAATCGTAAAAAAAAAAACGGAAAATACATATAAACGTAAAAAAACCTAAAAAATAAAAAAATTTACGATAATTACATTAAAAATACAATAATATACAAAAAATACAAAAATTTAAGGAAATTATAAAAAAAAAAAACGATTATCATCAGAAAAATACAAAAAATTGTAAAAAATACAGAAATACCGAAGGTTAAAGAATAGGAATGAAGGGAGGACTGTTAGGAAGGGCCGATTTTCATCATTTATCTTCTTTTTGCTCCAAAATTCCTGTATTGGAATTTAGGAGGATGCTCGGAACACTTGGTAGTTTGTAGGTTGGGTTAGTACACCTGGGAAGTTTGGTAACTGGGGAGTAAGTAAGAACCACTGTTGGATTAATACTCATTTTTATTGAACAATCAACTATTTCTGTACAAAAAATACAACTTTGACAAACGGTATAGATCGTAGTATTGCCTATGTTTTCTGGTGACTCACTGGTTGGTATTGATAACCTAAGAGCTAATAATTAATTAATTTTTGTAATGATTTTGACAGATATAATTTAGGGCTTTTTTTTATGAGTAAATTTTGAATTTAGACAATAACTATTTGAATTTTCAGGATCACTACAATGACAAAATCAAAGAAGCCAAGCTGTACGAAAGCCTTTTCATTCCCAAAGTGGAACTCTACTTGGAAGAAGTCGAAAAAGAACAATCTGACCCTCAAAAATATTACTTAGCTACTGCTCTGATTTCAATTTTAACCAGAGTTTTCAGGGTCCGTCCTCAAAATCTAGATCTAGACCGTGTGCCCACTTTTGTAAACAAAGAGCGCTCATTTAAAGCCAAATTAATCGGCAAATATTCAAGAAAACTGAGTCATTTGAGTCATTCATTTGTAGCTCAACAATACTTTACTGTAATGCCTTGCAATTACTGTCACCAAATTATCTATGGAATTAGTCCCCAAGGATATCAGTGTACAGGTCAGTTAAGATTTCATTAAATTCTCATAATATAATAGTTATTTACATTACAAGTGCGTTTATTAACATGATTACAATAACGAGTGTGAGGTCGTAGGCCGAGTCGTTCTAATCACACGAGTTTTGTAGTCATGTTTAAACGCACGCGTGATGTACAACGTTTTATCTATAAAGCGAAAAATAGGAATGTTTTTTTTAATTATTTTGGTTTATAAGTAGTTGTCTACCTTCATTTTACCTTTACAGGTTTACCTTTGACATTATTTGTCAAATCACCAAAAATCGTTGTGTTATAGATTCATAACCTCGTCCATAACACCACTAGTTGTGTTATGAATTCATAACCTAGTCTATAACACCACTAGTTGTGTTATGAGTCTCATAACACAACTCAAATACTAGAAAAATAGTTATGTAAAAACGTCATAACCAAACGCTTGTAGATAAATTGAATAATGTTTCAGCTTGCATAATAAACTTGCATCGATTCTGTGTGAAACTCTACGACGATTCTTGTCCAGGTCCTTTTAGAGGTAAAGAACGAGGGATTAGGAAGCTTATAGGGATGCGTCACGATGTTGAGCAGAGTAGGCGGAAGGCGTCCCAGTTTATTCAAAGTAAGTTATTGGAAAAATAGTTTGGCAACATCGTCTTATTTGTATTTTTTAGTGGAGAAAGAAAAAAGACAGATGGAGGAAAAAGACTGTATAAATGAAAATGCTGAGGCTGGTAAGTGACCTTATTTTTATTATTATAGGTAGTGGTTATTTAAAGCATAAATAATAAGTATAATCAATGAGCTACAACTTCTTATTGGAATTTGTCAATGTTAATTTTTTTGTGAGACACTTTTTCTATAATTAAAAATTGGTTATTTCATATCTAGTATGATGATAACAGTGGAAATCCACATCCTTTGACATTGAAACAAATTAGATAAGGTACTAGTTTTTGGCAATATTATCTTCTGATACATACTTATTTAATAAAATAAAAACAAGGTAGGTATTTAGTGTTAGGCGCCTTTAAAAAAATTGCGTTTTTATTTGGGAAAAAGTCTAAAACTTTTTATTTTCTTCAGGAAAGTTTTAAGTGTAAAAATGGAGTTTGGGTTACAGAAAATAACAAAGTTTGACTTTTGCAGAATTACACCTTTTCATATATCATTTTTCTTTGAAAAAGTGTTAAGAAATATCGAGTTGAAATGTTTTTTACAAGAAGTGTTCGTGTGGTTAAATAATTAGCTGCGCTATTTTCTATATAAGAGATATATTACATACATAGAAATAACATTTAGGTATAGGTACCAAAATTGGTTTATCAAAGGACAAAGCTGAGGCTCGCGGGCGGGTGCATTTCTGGTACTTTCTTTAGGTGCCCAAAACTGACTGTCATTTTTCGGTAGTGTGGCCTTTTAGGTAATTTCCCAGTTTGCAGCGTTGCGCTGTTGTGCGCAACTTCATGGTTATGTCACATCCTCATCCTAAGAATGAAAAAATGTAATGAGTAATTATTCAAATACAAATCTAGCTCTTAGTAACATTTTTCTGCAAACACTATTATTTAACAATTGATGTCTTACAATAAAGAGCTAGGCACTGAACTTAATTAACAATCGCCTAGACCTTGAGTAGAGGTAGCAGAAAAATATTACTTTCAAGTCAATACTATATCAAAAATCAATAGTTCAGCAAAATTCCAAATATAGACATGTACCACAAAATGGGGACTACACCTGTAACTGTCCAGTACAAAAACCTTGTAGGTTTGATTACTTATCTGGAGTTGTTTTAATGATTTTACATCTTTTCACTTTTCCCTACTTTTCTGCTCACTCGTCCATTGCTGCAGGGTATTTTTCCCTTTGTCCATAGTAGCTTTCGCCTTGGGAGGACTATTGGGTCGTACTGTACAGGTTGTGAACAACTAGAAGAAGAAATAATATACAGGGTGTCCCAGAATATGTGGGCAATTTCTCGGATTCAGATAGAACACAAAAAAAAAAACATGTCAACTTACATCCCCCGTAAAGAAAGGACGCCTCTGAAAATCGGTTTTTTGTTGACAACTTTCAAAATACTTTGTTTATTTTTTTTTCTCTAATATAATGGATACTGTGCCATTAGGCCTGATGTATACCAACACGTCCTACTCCAGAGCACTGGGAGTAAGGAAAGTTGGCAAGACAGCGCAAGTGGCGCGAGCTGTCAGTTTGAGCTGCTCCAAAGTAGCTTAAAGGTCACTGGAAAGCATGTCTGTCTGTAATCTGCTGCAAAAAATTTACAACACAACGATTCAAGGGGTGTTGCCAATACGCATTTTTATTATATTAATAATAAATTGTCGAATTATGTTTTGGTAATTTGTCATTTACTTACAAAATATACTCCTAAAAAGAAATTGTCTAGGCTTGCCATGGGAGGGGGGCTGCAGCCCGGAAGCCCCCCCCCTGGATGCGCTTATGGTCTTATTTTCACCAGTGATGGAATAAAAGGCTCTGTAGATTTCCTATAACTCTGTGGTGTGAATATTGCAATAGCTAGGAAGTTCATATTTGGCTATTGTAAAATCTATTATCGTGACTGCACAACTTACTCCATTGTCATCTTTGGATGCATCTGTATTTTCTTTCATAAGTTCTAAAAAATGTTGTTTGAGGACTCTATGTTAGACGTTTCGTTTTTTACATAGATTCTCAAATTTGTGTTGATAGATGGCATCTTTTTTGTCCAGGGTGGAATGGTTGATGTTGAGATGCACTAAGTTTTAGAAAGATCAATATTCTCTAAAGCCGCGTACAGATCGAATTGCCAACGTAGACTAACGCCAACGACACATGTGCTGTCGTTGGCGTTAGAATTTTTGGATTTGAGAACATCGTCCATATCGCCGTACACACCAAATCTAACGCCTTCCAACATAGTTCACATAATGTGTCGTTAGCTAGCGTTGGAAATTGGGTTTTATACGCGTCTTAAGAGTCTATTAAGAGTATAGAGAATTGATTAAGGAGGTTTATAAGTATTGGAGTAGTTTGCCCAGGACGTAATAAGAATATTATGGATAGGATTACGTGGATTTGCAGATATTTGTGCCAAGTATGTTAAGAGGTGCTGTTCACGTCAAAGAATTAGCGGGGGTTGTTTGGATTCGCAGTATAATGATTCTGTTGGACTGGATTTGAACTTGAACACTTCTAAACAGATTCTAAGAGCAGTATTTTGTACAGTATTTAGTTTTTTTAGGGTAGATTTGCTGGCAGAGGAGTAGACAAAACTTCCATAGTCCAATTTGAATCTTATTAGAACCCTGTATAATACTCTGAGCAATACTGTGTCTTACGCTTCCCAATGATGATTCGCTAAGGTTTTTAAAATGTTCATTCGTCTTATGCAGTCAGCTTCAAGTTTATCTATATATGCTTCTTCCAAATAAGTTTACAATCAAAAGTTAATCACAGTATTTTATAACTTTCCAACACTTGTAGAGAGACATAATAGTCCCCAGTACATCGACCTTAAAATTTTATAACTCATGTACACGCCCAACTTCCTGAGCGGCTTCATAACACCAAGTCGGACAATATTTTTCATGTCTCCACCCTGGGCGATGGGACATTGCCGCGCTAGCTCTTCGTGAAGTTGTCGTTTTGACGTCCCTAAGGAAGTTGATACATGTACGTGTGGTTTCAATGCCAATCGATTGTTTTTTACATTACATCAACGATATCACATTTGTCGGACAAAAACCATGTGGCTTTGGGGAAGGTCCGACACCCTCAACATGTCGCTGTGGCGTCCCTGAGGAAGTTGATACATGTACGTGTAGATTTAATGCCAATCGACAGTTTTTTGTATTACATTACCGATATCATATATGTCGGACAAAAATCACGTGGCTTCGGGGGGGTCCGACGCTCTCAACATGTCACTGTGACGTCCCTAAGGAAATTGATACATGTACGTATGTTTTTAATACCAATCGACAGTTTTTTACATCACATTAACGATATCACATTTGTCGGACAAGAAATTTGAGACAATCAATGAAAAAATTAAAATAAGTTTGCCTTAACGCAACGTGCATATTAGTCAGTTTATTATTTACCTACTTTGTCAAATACCTGTGGGGCCCTGTGTCATATTCCCTAATCTGTTTTTTTGATAGTTCTCCGAGCATTTACGGAAATTATTCAGTAAACGGTCATTCAAAACCACGCGTGTGAGAAAGAATGGATATTCAGTCGTGTTTTTTGTGCAATCTCAGGAGTGAAGATCCTGAATTTCGGCAGAAATTGATCAAAACGACTTTTGTTGTCCGACTGACTTTAATACTCATTTTATTTGTCCGACATTTACTACACATGTTTTAAAATTACATTGTTATTCATAATTATTTTTGTCGGACATACATGTATCAACTTCCTTAGGGACGCCACAGCGACATGTTGGGGGCGTCGGACCCCCCCAGAGCCACGTGATTTTTGTCCGACCTATGTGATATCAATAATGTAACATAGAAAACAGTCGATTGGCATCAAAACCACACGTACATGTATCAACTTCCTCAGGGACGCCACAGCGACATGTTGAGGACAGCGGAACTTCACCAAAGCCACATGGTTTTTGTCCGATAAATGTGATATCGTTAATGTAATATAAAAAACAGTCGATTGGCTGTGACGGAACTAGCTATTACCCTTTTGTGGACTCTAGTCATTACCGCACCAGGGATGTCAAAAGTTTTTACTTTGACTGACTGTAAAAATTAACCATTAGGTGTTGGATCATTTAAGCCTTGTATTGAACTAGGGGTGCCTTGATTCTCATTTATACAAATAAAACGCTGAAATAGAATAGTTATCAATTTAATTAATAAATGAAGTTAATTCAGTTTAATCAACAATCAAATCCTATCTAATAATTCCTATTTGGACGTCCAGTCGAACTACAAATTTTATACTAATCTAAAGTAAATAAGCGAGTAAATAAGTATCTTGATTTATAAAAATAGTGAAATTTCATAATAATAATATCAATTATGGTTAAATGTTCAATGAACGAGAACACAAATTAACTAATTAGATTTACGAGAGCACAACACAAATAATTCGTGAACTTCAATCAGCTCACTGTATTCACAAAATGTTTATTTATCCTTGAAAGTTCCTTTGTTTATTGAAAGTTAATAATTTGAGCACTTTTCTGCTGAAGTGTGTAAACAATAAGTGCAAGAAAAGTCTATATATATATGCTCAGTTTCTATATACAAATTTACAAATTAATGTTCATTTCACGAGTGTGAAAACCAAATTTCTGTATTAAAGGTTAGAACAAACACTTCAATTTATAGTGCATTTCAACCGAATCAGTATTCAGTATTTATTAACTCATTGTTCGACTGTTTAGAGAAATTGAAACGGTCTTACTTGCTTATTCCAGTTCATACAGGTGAATCCAAAATCCATATAGTGATTATTTATCCATTTATCACTATTCGTAGTAATTTGCACTGTCAGCTAAGGGATTTTCCACTAAGAGAGAGAACACAATGATATACAGAGTTGAAGCCCGTCGAGAGTGAGACAGGAATAACCTTAAACAGGCGTAGTAGAGAATTTTGCTAGGTCCGAGATGACTTGCAACAATTTAGGGGTTAATTACATGAATTGTAATCAATAATATCGTTGATAATATAGACCATGTCAGGCCTTGAGACACTGGGAGTAGTATTTTAC